GAACCGGAAATGTAACTCATGCTTTCAAATGACGTCCTTCGGAGTTGATCGGGAAATAATAATGCCGGGATTTTCGCCTACATTTACGGTGCAAGGTCAAATTTATCATAGAATAGGTTCACTTTTTCCACCTGAAAACGAACAGCATAAATTTTTACAAGTATATTTTACGGGTGACGAAGAAATTGAGGTAGACCGTCGCTGCCAATTTATCCAGGAAGTTGAAAGAGACAGTGTTCAAAATTCAAAGATTCTTGTATTAACGTAACATTTTAGTCAAAACATTTAAAACTGCTTTAGAAAACCTACCTGAAGAGGATTATAAAGTCGTCATTCACGCAGATCGGGCCCCTCGAGAAGAGCATGAAAGGCGCTACAATGCACCTTTGATAAACGAAATAGCAGTCGTAATTAGTGGTGATCAATTTTCTTCACGAGACATTGTCTTGCGAGCACGTGATGATACGTTGCAACGGGTAGCCGATACACACAAGTTTTATGACGCTCTGCAATACCCATTGATTTATTGCAAATTCCACTCATTAACTCGGTCACAAAGGAGCCTACTCCGAACAAAAAAGTATCATGTATGGATTTTTATGCGTATCATATGATGTTGCGAGAAAATGATTTTAACCTCTTAGCCCGGTGTAGACAATTATTTCATCAATTTTTAGTAGACATGTATGTGAAGGTAGAAAGTGAACGTCTCCGTTATATATCTTTAAATCAAAAAAGCTGCGCGTTGAGAATTATATACATTACAGATGCAGTTTCTAGCGACGCCAATGTAAACCCCAGAGATTTAGGTAAAATGGTAATTCCGCCCTCATCATTCGTTAACAGTCCCCGCTACCTACATAAGTACATACAAGACGCATTCGTCTATGTACGAACTTACGGAAGACCTGATCTTTTTGTTACTTTCACTTGCAATCCCACATGGAAAGAAATAACCGAGGAGCTAATGCCGGGCAAAAAAGTACTGACAGACACGATTTAGTTGCTAAAGTATTTAGATTAAAAGTACAAAAATTAATGTATGTAATTAACAAAGGGAAAATTTTCGGAGAGGTGCAGTGCTTCATGTATTCAATTGATTGGCAAAAAAGAGGATTACCGCATGCCCACATTCTAATATGGCTTAAAGAGAAGTTGTGGTCTAGCCAAATAGACGACATAATAAGCGCCGAGATTCCGGATTCTGAGCAAGATAAAGAATTATATGATACCATCGTCCGAAATATGATTCACGGTGCATGTGGAGCACGAAATTCAATATCGGCATGTATGAAAGAAGGAAAATGTACAAAGAAATTCCCTAAACAGCTATTAAAAGAAACAGTGCAAAATGACAATGGCTACACTTTATACAGACGCAGAGCTCCCGAAGATGATGGCAGGAAATTTACAATCAAATCTCGCTCTGGAACGTCCGAAACCTTAGATAACAGCTGGATTGTCCCGTATTCGCCCATTCTATGTAAAATGTTTAATGCCCACATTAATATAGAAGCATGTAGCTCTGTCCACGCAATCAAGTATATCTGTAAGTACATAAATAAAGGAAGCGACCAAGCAATATTTAATCTCAGGAGTGAAGGTGAGGCAAATCCCATTAATGAAGTACAGACCTTTCAAGCAGGGCGTTATGTCAGCAGTAACGAGGCAGCGTGGCGTCTCCTTGGCTTCCTTTTACACGAAAGGCACCCAACAGTTACTCACCTTGCTGTGCACTTAGAAAATGGAGAGCGTGTAAAACTTTCAACGGTCAGGAATGCGCAACTTATAGAGAAGCATGTGAAGCTCTGCATCTTTTAGAAAACGATAATCACTGGGATGTAACCATGGAGGAAGCTGTGCAGTGCCAGTCACCAGCCAAAATTAGGGATATTTATGCAACTCTCATATCATCTTGCGGGATATCTAATGCACATGAATTGTGGGACAAATATAAAGAGTACATGGCGGAAGATATTTTGCGAAGGTTACAGCAGACACACGCGAACATGACATACAGTGAACACATTTATAATGAAGCACTTGGAAAAATTGAAGATAAAGTAATGGCAATGGTAGGTAAAAAATTAAGCGACTTTGGAATGATAAGCCCTCAGCGAACAACCGAAAATGAACTAAGTGATGAAATTATACGTGAAACAAACTACGATATACCAGCTTTGCAGCAGCAAGTAGTCAAATTTGTACCCCGCTTGCTTCCCGAACAAAAACGAGTTTTTGTCAAAGTATTAGGCCAAATTGGATCTGGAAATGGTGCACTTTTCTTTTTAGATGCCCCTGGAGGAACTGGGAAGACATTTTTGTTAAATTTATTATTAGCGCAAGTACGGAAAGATAAAAACATTGCTGTGGCCGTAGCTTTCTCCGGTATAGCCGCCACGCTGCTAAGCGGGGCCGCACTGCACGTTCTGTTTTAAAACTCCCTCTAAGTCTAGCACAGGACGAATCGCTGATCTGCAACTTTAGCAAAAATAGTGCACGAGGTATAATGCTACGACAATGCAAACTTTTAGTGTGGGACGAAAATACAATGTCGCATAAAAAAGCTGTAGAAGCACTAAATCGAACGCTCCAGGATTTGCGCAGCAATACCGATGTAATGGGAGGATTGGTGGTTTTACTGGCTGGTGACTTTCGCCAAACTTTACCTGTTATTCAAAAGGGCACACCTGCAGATGAAATTAAAGCATGCCTCAAGTCGTCTATTTTATGGAACAAGGTGACAAAATTCAGTTTAACTACGTTAATGAGAGTGCATTTGTATAATGATATCAATGCTGGAGACTATGCTGACACTCTATTAAAAATTGGCGATGGGCGGTTGGAAACGGATGCTGAGGGCTGCGTTAAATTGACGAGAGATTTTTGTAATTTAGTACAGAGTCATTCCGAATTAATTACGGGCGTTTATTCAGATTTAACGAACAAAATGCATGAAGACAAATGGTTATTTGAAAGGGCGATTCTTGCACCAAAAAATGAGAGCGTTAACAAAATAAATTCAGATATATTAAGCGAAGTAGCAGGAGAAATAACAGAGTATTTGTCAGTAGACACTGTTATAGACCGTTCATATCCCGTAGAGTTTCTAAATTCTCTAGAGTTGTCAGGTGTGCCCTCACATAAGCTTCAATTAAAATTAGGCGACCCAGTAATGCTAATGCGAAATTTAGATGCTGCTTGGTTATGTAACGGGACAAGGCTGCGTGTGACACATCTTGGACGGAACATAATCGGTGCTACAATTTTTACAGGCGTAGGAAAAGGTGAAAATGTTATTATACCACGGATCCCTATAATTCCCACAGATCTTCCTTTTAAATTCAAAAGGTTGCAGTTCCCTATTAAGCTCAGTTTTGCAATGGCAATTAATAAAGCGCAAGGATAAACGTTACAGGTAGCGGAGGTCAACTTATAAAAACCGTGCTTCTCTCATGGTCAGCTGTATGTAGCATGTTCGCGTGTGTCAAATGCCCAGAATCTCCACATTCTTTCCCCGAATGGAAAAACCTATAACATTGTGTACAGTAGCGTCTTAAAATAGTGTTCAGTTAGTTTTTTTTTTCCAAAATTCCCACAATGAATTATTCAGAATTCCCACAGATCTTCCCTTTCAATTCAAAATTTCCTATTTAGCTGTCTTTTCAATTCCAAATGCTGCACCTCTGATGAACCTATTAAGCTCAGTTTCCTTTCAACTCAAAAGGCTGCAGCTCTGACGGATCTTTTATTTGGCTCAGTTTTCTTTCAATTCAGAAAACTGCATCTCTGACGAATCAATTTAGCTCGGTTTCTTTTCAAAGGTCTGCATCCCTGACGGATAATTATGCTCAGTTTCCTTTAATTAAAAAAATATCCCATTTCCATTTGGAATAAACAAGCTATTTTCATGCTTTCCTATACGCTGCGTTTCAAAACATTTAAATAGGCTGACGAATCAATTTTGCTCAGTTTCCTTTTAATGGCTGTATCTCTGACAAATCAGTTTTCTTTCAATTCAAAAAGCAATGGATAGTTCATGTGGGCGAAGCCGCGGGTAACAGCTAGTAAAATATAAACAATTTTTTTAAAATACAATATGTACGTGTATGAATTAAATAGTTCAATTGTTTCACATTAATAAATTTGCATTTTTCTGATAATTAGCTATATACCTATATATATATATATATATATATATATATATATATATAAACTGAAAAATTTACCTTAAGGGTTCTATCAGACAGGAAGCAGCTACGCGTTCAAGCGTTCCACGGTCGCGTTTTGCGTTCGAGCGTTCAGTTGCTCACGAATCACGAACGCCTACGTTCTGGTTGACCGACGCGGTCAGAATGCCTGCTGTCTGGGTATGTCTATGTAACGTAATACAACACAATGAACGCAGAACGCGAACGCGGAACGCTTATCTTTATAGATAGATAAATCCCTAAATTCATAAATATTTATTGAATAAACAAAAACGAACATACCGTTTTTACATGTTGCGTTAACAAGTTTTTTGGTTACGCTGAGATACTGTTCTAAGGTATTATTGAATATCGGTTTGAGGCATAAATATTCGTCTTCAGTATATTCTGTTCTCCTTTCTGTTGGTATCGTTTCATATTTGATTATTGAATTAAATACGCACGGATCTGGTCTCGACGTAACCTGTTTAGTTAAAATTTTTTAAAATAATCTTAAAAAAAAACTGAAACTTTACTTTTAGGTATATCACACGATCAAGTTAACTCCTCGTTTTATTGATCGCGAAACTCTCGACAAATTCATAATTTTTATGTTACGTAATAGGTATAGGCACTTTTAACTTCACTTAAAGACATGGGTTAGAGAGATCCATTATTATGGTTGGCAAGCAGGTTAGGGACAAAATTGTAAAGTTACATATCTTTTATTCATACGTGTATTACGTGATAAAATCTTGTATAAAATAAAGGTTTTTAGAAGAGGTAACTAATCGAAAGATTCCTGTGCTTTTATATATAAAGAAACAAAAGTCTTACTTCTTGGCCAATGCACTTTGGCGTAGAGTACAGGTTACTAAAAATTGTAGCGGTCATATCTGGCACCGATGTGGGGGTCTGTATCATTCCATTACAGAGAGTCCAGAATCCATCGCGTATGATATATATCCGAGGTTGACCTTTAAGTGTGGACACCGTCAACATCGTCACTCCTAACCTGTTATTTATTAATTACTATTTATTTATTGCATACAGTACATAACGAAATTCAGTTGCAGGTCCGTTGTCATCTCTAAGGACTAAGATGAAACTACTCTAATATCTTTACTTAAAGCTACACTCCCTCATCGAGTTTTATAATAGTTTAAATATTTTACGTAATATAATGTATCTAAACGTGTTAGGGTTGCCACTTCATATCATGAAATAGTTATTTTTAATTAAGAACTTAATTATATTTTTCTATAGTTTATGTAAAAAATAGCATTTAAACAAGAGTACCTATTTTTGGGCAATAAATAAAGAATTCCAGGTTATTTACATTGCTTACATTAAAAAAAATAAAAAGAAAAGAAAATAGCTATACCTACGGGGATATAAGGTGGCAGACTTAGCACATACTTTTTATTTATTTATTCATTTTAAATTTTAATATACTCGATAGAATATTTATTTTATTAGAAAAATCATTGGGGAGTCTTTTGGAAAGAAAGGAAAAAATTTTTTTGTTTGTTTGTCTTGTGAAACGCATAGACCGCTTCTATACCATTCATGCTCTTGAAACTTTGAAGCTTTGATGAGTTATGGTGCGTGCTTCCGCAAAAGTTTCTGACAAAAATTAAACTCAAATAATTAAAAACCAACCTGAAATAACTTTAAAAAATTAAAACAATTTCTGCATAGTTTGACAACTTTAGAAGACCTGGAGTCAAGTCAACTTAAAAACTAAAAAGTAAACTTAGCGCCGACTTTTTAGTTCTTTGAAGTCGGGTTTTACTTTTTTTATCAAAGGTTTAATTATTTGACCCTTTTGAGTGGACTAACCAATATCACAACCTTAACCCTTTTCCTTTCCCATGAACCATTTATGAACATTTCAATTGTTTAACAATTGAGTCTATATCGCGGAAACTATCAGGCGCTGCGCAAACGTAGACACTTTTGTATCTTGTGTGGAATACAAGGTACCAGTTAATATTTTATTTTCATATAATCAATATGAAATTGGCCATTAACTGATGCGCAGACGTTGACACTTTTTTGACCAATTGCTTTCACTTTGGAAGCTTAAAGTCGCCAAGCGAAGACAAAACACACACACACACACACACACACACACACACACACACACACACACACGCACACACACACACACACGCACGCACACGCACACACACACACACACACACACACACACACACACACACACACACACATACACATACGACACAGACAGTTTGATTCGTCTATAAATATTGCCGCAAGCTCGTTTACCCCCTCTTATATATATAAAAAGTTGTGATGGGAGTAGTGGTACTAGCTTTTGTGGTTGTGGTGTTACTGCAGGTAATTGTTGAGGTGTTCTTTATACTAGATGCGACACACAAAGTAAATTTCACATGGTTCTTAGCTCATTCCTTTTCATGACTTGAAATTTTCGTGGAGATATGCTACAGCTGTATTATGACTTGAATGGCGGCTGCAACTTGATTCTTAATAACGTTCGGTGGAAAATGGTGGTCCTATTCAAATTTGAGGTAAATAAAGGGTAAAACGTATCGGAGACGACGACTCTATGCTGACCCATTATCAACACAATAAGCAAAGGTAATGTTTCTTCATCGACATCCATCGTGAAACTGATGGAAAATAAGCAACGAATTGTTACCAGTGACCAGAAGTAGAAACCGGCGACTGTGTACGATTTCCGCAACCGGACACAGCAACTACGGTTTCCTATGATGGTGTGCCGTGTCAGTAACAAACTGTCTTACTACAAAAAAGTTAGACATATGTTCAACACGTGTTTAGCAAATTTGTTACTACAAAAGAGTGTTTAACGGTGGTTTATGGATGGACACGACTTAGACGTTGTTTAAATTTAAACAGCCGCAAACCCTTCTTTAACTGGTGTCTAACTTATCTTTCCGACAGTTCAGTATTTTTATTTAACATGGATATAATTGATTTTGATGATTACTTCGATGAAGACGACATGGATAGCTATGTGGAAATGTTCCGAGAAAGTAATACGGTTCGTGTGAGGGTTAATCCGTTTGAAAAATACGACGACGCCAAGTTTAAGAAAAAATGTGGGTTCAGCAAACTTTTTGCTAGAAAAATATTAGATCTTGTGAAAGACGATATCCAGAGTGATTCTTGTGGTAACACAATAGATCCAGTATTGCAAGTGGCTTACGCATTACGGTAGGTATTGGGCTCGTCATCAAGTAAGTTCGATTTATACAAAATTAAACTATGCTTACGTGTGGCGTCGGTAAAGAAGAATAGCTTCACCCATCAGCCTGTATGTTTGCCTATTATTTGCAATTTTATTTGTTTTTGTCCATAAATAAAATAACTCATGAAAATTTTACAAAAGGTATAGCTCTACATACATATTGTCATTATCGAACATTATTATTATCGAACTTTGAGACAAAACACGATTTAATTTTTACGTAGTTAGTCGTATTCATTTGCGTAAAACAAAACGAATGATCGAATGCCGAACGAATGTATTACAGTGTGACCTGGAGAATAAAGTTAAACGTTGTCTATATAGAGGCACGCGTTAAACACGGTTTAGTGGTAGCGAAATTTAAACCATTGTTTAACATGTGTTTATCATTTAAGTCCATGTCTAACTAAACACATGTTGGACCAGAAATGATTTTTTGTAGTAAGACTGTTTGTGTCTAAGTTTGCTCAGCGCCTTAAGGTGATTAACTACAATAATGTAGTCTAAATAGTTGTAGTAACACAACAATTTCATCGCCCTTAGTGGTGAAATGTTTCCTACTAATTTAAATAGGACCACCCCTGATCACTTAGTAAATAAAAAAGAACATAAAATCGGTTTACAATAAGCAAAGATATCGCGTAACATACCTAACATACAAACAAAACCAAAGTCGAATTACGAACCTACTCCTTTTTTGAAATATGTTAAAAAAGGATTTGCACCGCATGCCAGTCAGAGTTGTGTCACGTTATTACAGCCCATTATAAGTCAACTGCTGAACATAGGCCTCCCATTTATTTTGCGCCCGAAGCAATTATGGGCAACCCTCCGGAATGCGGGGGAGGGAGGTGGGGAATGCTCATAGCATACCACGCAGCCGGCTGCGTGGTTATATAGGCCTCCCCTAAGGAATGGCACAAAGCACGATACGCTACTTACCAGCTCCATTTAATGGGATCATCTCATAGAATACTATAATACACATAATATATTATAGTATTCTATGGGTCATCTACAGTTATGATATGCTGCTCCCCTGCTGGTACGAGGCTGCCACAAGAAAACTTGTGTTCCCAATCGGTTTTTATTTCTTATATAAAATAATTCGGAAAAAAAAGCAGAGGAAGAAGAAGGTAACATTATCACTTTTACTTTTGTCTGATGCTCGAACGTCACGTTATGAATAAAATATTATCATAATAAATGGTTAGACTTACTTCCCGTTAACTATGGCTTCTTTAAGAGTTTTTTCTCGCTCTTGAACTGTGATTATATGAGACTTTAAAATAGCTGCTAATTGTTTTGCGTTCTGTAGAGTTGTTTCAAGTTTACTCTTTAGGCTTGAAGTCGGTACTATGCCGCTTGTTAGTGTGTCATTGGGCGTAAAACGTAATAATAAATTATTTCTCTGCACGTCTGCTGTGCTGTTAGGTTCTGAAGGTTCGGAGGTTTCAGGGACAGTTGGGAGAAGTTTTAGTTTTTCTTTATTAAACATTTTCCAGTTCATGTTGTGGATCCTTCTTGCAGAAGTATCTTTACTAGGTACAAAAGTTTTATTATTTATAAGTGAAAGTTCAGCAATTAGATATTTTAGTATATTTAATAAATAAATATATTAAATAAATGTTAATGTTATTAGACTAATACCCACTTCATAAAAGTTGTGCATCTAAATTACTAATTTTGTCTTTTTTGAAGAAGAGATTATTGACTGTTATTAATATAAGGATAGACGGTTTGGCAGCAGTGACAGCTGCGCCACTGTGAGTCGCTTGTTCTAATCCTGTACCAAATAACTATATAGAATGATTAACTTCTTTCTTGATTTTGTCTGTGGTCATATTACATAATAATAAAAAATATTACGTGATCTAGTTAAATATTTTTCCCTCAGATAAAGTATTGTGGCCGCGGAAGGAAAAGGGGAGATCTCCCACCGGGCAAGGTGTTCTGCCCGGGGAGCGACCGACGCTCCATGTGATAGTTCGGAGATGTTCTATATAAACTGTTTATGATTCGGAATGTTGATAGCGTGATTTAGGCTTCGGTGCATTTCGCTTGTGGCACGACGACAGCGCCGCTACATCACCCCCCTGCTCAGAGCGGAAGTCGATAGTGCAGCCTCGTTTCCGACATATGTGCAAGTGCCAGGAGATTGCCTTGTAGTCTGCGGTGAGTCGAGAAGAAGGCAAGTAATCTGCGAGAGTGCCGTGATGCAGAGGCGAGCAGTAAGGCTCAGAGCCGTGCCGAACACTGTATGGCGCAGAGAGTAACTGGAAGGAACAGGAAGCATTATTATTCCAGTAGTAGTTAGGTTGTACCAGTTCTGGCGCACTAAATAAGAAGTTGTACGAGTTCTGGCGTACTGAGTCAGAAGTGGTAAAAGTACGACGTTCGTCGACTCAAGATGCTAAAAAAAAAGGTTTTGGCATGCTCTGATCACGAATCTGCGGTCCATTTTTGCGTAGGATGCACGGTTCCGGAGATGTGCAGATCAATTAACTCTTATCTAATTGATATCCGGTGCGGGCCTCCACCGTCATAAGCGCTCCATTGTTCTTATATACTTATCTATTGTTCGTTCAATACCGTCATTATCTATTCTTCCTCAGCGTGGTGATATTGTTCTCCTTTGTTCCTATCTACACTAATCTGACTCATTAATAAAACACATTACCCCATTTTGTTAAAATATTTATTTATAAAATACAAAATCTTATTACTTATTATCTATAAAATAGGAGCGAAACATCTCATCCACTAAAATATCGTTGTACAATGTGTTCCCTGTAAATATACTCGTAAAACTATGCATTGAACATCCCTGAAACTTATATAGCAAATACATTAAGCAATATTCGCCACAAACTGAAGTCCACTCATTCTGAATCCTATCAACATTCCAGTTCCATCTTTTACAATTTCTTTTAAAAAACTCTAGATGATATCGTACAGGTGCCCGTCCGAATGAATCAAAATATTGACCGACGTCAATCGTATCGATATATAAAGCTACCCAATGTGACCCTGGTTTATCATCTGTATCCAAATTGCATATTATATACGTTGGTACGTGGGTGTACATGGGTAGTTTATTGGCAGCATAAACGTTATTTTCTAGAGTGGGGTGAATCTTTTTCAGATGTTGTTGTACATCTAGTGTATCCATAATATTACTGCTATTAGTAGATTATTACAGTACCAATCTAATCAATGACTAATATAGGAATGATCAATTATAGTGATTTCTAAATATTAAATTGCATTCTTTGTGTTATACAAAACGTATTTGAGTCATCAATACACTGAATAAGACACGGGAAGGACAAAGGAATGTTGAGATAAGCAACAGAATGTGAGATAAGCTTGTTGACGCATAAAGTTACTATCAATTCTACTGCAGAAATTCTTTAGATTAGAATTATTACTCACTGGTACTATATAAGACCAAGCAACTGCAGTCATGGAGTTAGTGTATGGTCGTTTGACCACAGTGGATCTATCAATACTACATTTGTGTTACTTCAACGCATCAAAGGCCATGGATGTAAGTGTTTATTCTATTGGCAAGCTTACTTTTCTTTCTGTTATTTTCTTACGTGTGTATGATTTAGTGTTAACAAATTATATTTAAATATTATATGATTAAGCCGTGGTAGCTTAGATGGTTAGCGCAAAATGTAAAATTCACAGTACGCGACCCGGGTTCGATCCCCGCCGGCACCAATTAAATTGTTAATTGCAATTTTAAGTGCTGATTTACCACGTGCTCAGCGGTGAAGGAAAACATCGTGAGGAATGCATGTCTGAGAAAATTTCGAAGGCATGTGAAGTTTGCCAACACGCATTGAGGTAGCGCAGCGAACATTTACCTAGCCCTAAAACCCTCTCAGAAATGAGAGGAGGCCTATGTTCAACAGTGGAATTTAATAGGTTGTAACTTTAACTTTTTTAACTGTTATGATTAAGTGTTATTACAAATTGATATTAACATGATAACTGTGTTGTTGCAGAAATCAATGAGCTTCGATGAAAATACCTATAAACAGTATTACTACTCGCCACTCTCCCCTCAAGAAGAGAGTGATGACATCGTCATTAATAATGACACATGCGATGGTGGAAAAAGAAAATCGCAATCGATTGATCATTTTTTTTGAAGCTGAATCAAAAATAAAAAAGAGGAAGCTGTTATCATCAACCGTAGCACGAGCCGCTAGAGATGGTGTTTCATACATTTCTACTAATTCTGACGACGGAGACCAAGCGACGCATCTCATCAAAATTGAAATGTACGATATGAAGAAGCTATCCAAGATTCCAACTACTGATCATTGGAAACATGCTTCCACGAGGATTAAATATTACGTAAAGACTAATAAGGATAGCATCTACGACAACACAAACGCCCTCGTATACAATATTACAAAGACAATAGCAGAAAGTGAAAAAGTTAAAAAATGCTTTTTTAACAATGACAGTCATTAGCTGATCATTAGTGAATGTGATTCTGTTTACTTAAATTACTTCCGTGTACTCATTATATTCTATTTCTAATCCTTTGTTAGACTTAAATATCGGACATTATTTGAAATTTGGGTATCAGTTGGTCTACCAACACTGAACTGTTACTTACTCTGCTACCTATTTTCTTCTTTACTATAAGGATGGCAAACTTCAGTGAAGTGTGCACCAGTGCTTTCTTCTCCACAACCATAGAAGAGAATACGGAACTATTCAACAGCGAATTAAATCAGGAGTTGTCTAAAGTTTGTGATGAAATGGAGAAGGATCAACTGTTCGATTCATCGTATGATGATGAGTTGTATAATCACTGTGCGATGGTTGAAACACAGTTTACGTAAGTAAAATAAACATTCATTTCGATCATAATTTACACAATGTCTTGTACAGTTTTTAATAAATTTAAACATTTTAGTAGTCAACCACTACAACTTGGAAGAGGAACTAAGCGAACGAGCAACAAAGAACCCGAGATCATCAAAAAACCAACAACGGAAGCAGAAGCGCCTACCTCTGCAGGGAACAGTATCAGTAACGATGATCAAGTGGAATGTCTAACGTGTCATATATTTATCAAGAAACGGTATTTACCTAATCATTTTAAAAGTAATGTTCACAAAAATAATCTTTTAAATTCACATAATTCTTTATCAAACGTTAGTGTTATTGAATCTGCTTTTGGAAATAGGATTTTAACTTATAAAATCAAGAGTAGAGTAGATAGTTCGACATTGGTAAATTTTGAAACTCCTGAACTGCTTTAAATTCTATTAAAGATGATATTTTATTTTTAATACAAGAGTGTATTCATCAACACATAATTTTAAAAGTAAACTTCATACTGCATGCTGATTTTGTTCAACAAACTAAAGATATTCATGATACGTTCGATTTTCAAACGCTTAACTATATTATTTGTCAAGGAGATGACTTAAATATTTTTTTTCATCTTTAAATGATACAATTACTACTAAAATTAGTGCATTTGAAAAAAAAGATAGTGGATGGAGTCTAAAAAACATAAAATCTATAGACATGAATGTTAATAAATTTAACCCCCCTACGCGGTACTTCATACATAGATCTTCCTCGTGACATAAAATTAAAAAAGGCTGTTATAAATATAAAAAGCAAGGATTATTTTTGTTTTAAATGGGCGTTACTCTCGGCGTTATATCCCATAAACAAAGACGCGGATCGTGTATCATCATATGTTAAACATGCAAATAAACTTAAATTCGATGGTATTTCCTCTCCAGTTAAAATTTCTGACATATCAAAAGTAGAGAAATTAAATGATATTAGTATTAATGTTTTTGGGTTAGAATATAATAAAGAAAAACGATGTAATTCTATAGTAGGTCCATTATTAAGTGCTGATTTACCACGTGCTCAGCGGTGAAGGAAAACATCGTGAGGAATGCATGTCTGAGAAAATTTCGAAGGCATGTGAAGTTTGCCAACACGCATTGAGGTAGCGCAGCGAACATTTCCTAGCCCTAAAACCCTCTCAGAAATGAGAGGAGGCCTATGTTCAACAGTGGACTTTAATAGGTTGTAACTTTAACTTTTTAACTTTTATGATTAAGTGTTAACAAATTGGTATTAACATGATAACTGTGTTGTTGCAGAAATCATTGAGCTTCGATGAAAATACCTATAAACAGTATTACTACTCGCCACTCTCCCCTCAAGAAGAGAGTGATGACATCGTCGGAGACCAAGCGACGCATCTCATCAAAATTGAAATGTACGATATGAAGAAGCTATCCAAGATTCCAACTACTGATAATTGGAAACATGCTTCCACGAGGATTAAATATTACGTAAAGACTAATAAGGATAGCATCTATGACAACACAAACTCCCTCGTATACAATATTACAAAGACAATAGCAGAAAGTGAAAAAGTTAAAAAATACTTTTTTAACAATGACAGTCATTAGCTGATCATTAGTGAATGTGATTCTG